GGAAATGGGTGGTTTTTCCACTCAGCGGACAGGAGTGGAGGAGCAGGAGCATCTGGTAGAGGAGGAGGAGGAGGAGACAGAGGACCCCAGACGCACCGTGGCAGTATGCTGTGGAGAGATGGAGGCAGGGAGTCCCTCGCATTCCTTGGCACAAATGGCCCATATAGCATGCTCGGTTTGCTTGCGTAGCGACAGCCGAATAATAACCATCAGACAGAGGGATGACTTTTGGCTGTCCACCTTTGTTGGACCCTCGCTACCGTTCAAAAATGGTGGCCTTTTTTCACACCTGCTGAGAGGGAGGCCAAAATAACGTACTATAAAAAACCACCTATGTAGTCAGTTGGTCTCTGCCTTTCTGCGCCAACGTCCATCCTCAGACACTGTGGGCCCTGTGCGCTCGCGTTCCTCCGCTGCCATGGCAGCAGGGGAGGGGTGGGGGTGGTAGGAGCAGTGGCAGCTCCACCAGCAGCGGCTGCCTCAGTCTGCAGTCGATGATGAGTAGCTTTCTTCACCAGCCAGCGCAGTGAGGAAACTACTAACCAGCCCGCAGCAGCAGCAGCAGCAGCAGCATCAGGTGGACCTGGAGCAGGACCTCAAACAACAGGCTTGGGCCTACTTGGTGACAGCACCCTGCCAACCGAGGTAGACAATCCCCTTGACTACTGGGCAACGAAAAACTTGACCTTGCTGCTGCCCCAACTAGCTGAATTTGCCCTTGAAAGGCTGTCATGCCCGGCCAGTAGCTTGTGGTCATCGGAGCGCCGTGTTTAGTGCGGCAGGAGGTATTTTTAACTCCGCGGAGGACACGACCTGTCCACCCCAAAGTGTGGAGAGACTCACGTTTGTGAAAATGAATCAGGCGTGGATTAGTCTGGATTTCAAACCCCACCAGTTCCTGACACAACTGACTAAATCCGCCATGAATCATGCCCCAAACCATGTGCCACTTTCAGGTCTCCTCACACACTGCTGGTGTGTTGAATTTTTTTGACATAGGGTGCTGGCAGATTACGGGCCTCCCATAGCTGCTGCCAGGCCCCTAATCTGCCATAGGCCCCTATATACCGCCTCCTCATGCTGCTGCCAGGTCCAGAGTCTCATCATGGGTCCCTGTACGGCCTCCCATTGCTGCTGTCTCCATCGCCACACTCTGCCATGTGCCACTTTCAGGTCTCCTCACACACTGCTGGTGTGTTGAATTTTTTTGACATAGGGTGCTGGCAGATTACGGGCCTCCCATAGCTGCTGCCAGGCCCCTAATCTGCCATGGGCCCCTATATACCGCCTCCTCATGCTGCTGCCAAGTCCAGAGTCTCTGTCATGGGTCCCTGTACGGCCCTCCCATTGTTGCTGCTGTCTCCATCGCCACACTCTGCCATGTGCCACTTTCAGGTCTCCTCACACTGCTGGTGTGTTTGAATTTTTTTGACATAGGGTGCTGGCAGATTACGGGCCTCCTATAGCTGCTGCCAGGCCCTAATCTGCCATGGGCCCCTATATACCCCCCTATAGCCTCCTCATGCTGCTGCCAGGTCCAGAGTCTCTCATGGGTCCCTGTACGGCCTCCCATTGCTGCTGTCTCCATCGCCCACACTCTGCCATGTGCCACTTTCAGGTCTCCTCACACACACTGCTGGTGTGTTGAATTTTTTTGACATAGGGTGCTGGCAGATTACGGGCCTCCATAGCTGCTGCCAGGCCCCTAATCTGCCATGGGCCCCTATATACCGCCTCCTCATGCTCATGCTGCTGCCAGGTCCAGAGTCTCTGTCATGGGTCCCTGTACGGCCTCCCATTGCTGCTGTCTCCATCGCCACACTCTCTGCCATGTGCCACTTTCAGGTCTCCTCACACTGCTGGTGTGTATTAAATTTTTTGACATAGGGTGCTGGCAGATTAACGGGCCTCCCATAGCTGCTGCCAGGCTAATCTGCATGGGGCCCCTATATAATCCGCCTCCTCATGGCTGCTGCCAAGTCCAGAGTCTCTCATGGGTCCCTGTACGGCCAACCCATTGCTGCTGTCTCCATGCATCGCCACACTCTCATGCCATGTGCCACTTTCAGGTCTCCTCACACTGCTGGTGTGTTCAATTTTTTGACATAGGGTGCTGGCAGATTACGGGCCTCCCCATAGCTGCTGCCAGGCCCCTAATCTGCCATGGGCCCCTATATACCGCCTCCTCATGCTGCTGCTGCCAAGTCCAGAGTCTGTCATGGGTCCCTGTACGGCCTCCCATTGCTGCTGTCTCCATCGCCACACTGCTGCCACACTCTGCCATGTGCCACTTTCAGGTCTCCTCACACTGCTGGTGTGTTGAATTTTTTGACATAGGGTGCTGGCAGATTACGGGGGCCTCCTATAGCTGCTGCCAGGCCCCTAATCTGCCATGGGCCCCTATATACCGCCTCCTCATGCTGCTGCTGCCAAGTCCAGAGTCTCTCATGGGTCCCTGTACGGCCTCCCATTGCTGCTGTCTCCATCGCCACACTCTGCCATGTGCCACTTTCAGGTCTCCTCACACACTGCTGGTGTGTTGAATTTTTTGACATAGGGTGCTGGCAGATTACGGGCCTCCCATAGCTGCTGCCAGGCCCCTAATCTGCCATGGGCCCCTATATACCGCCTCCTCCTCATGCTGCTGCCAAGTCCAGAGTCTGTCATGGGTCCCTGTACGGCCTCCCATTGCTGCTGTCTCCATCGCCACACTCTGCCATGTGCCACTTTCAGGTCTCCTCACACTGCTGGTGTGTTGAATTTTTTACATAGGGTGCTGGCAGATTACGGGCCTCCCATAGCTGCTGCCAGGCCCCTAATCTGCCATGGGCCCCTATATACCGCCTCCTCATGCTGCTGCCAAGTCCAGAGTCTCTCATGGGTCCCTGTACGGCCTCCCATTGCTGCTGTCTCCATCGCCACACTCTGCCATGTGCCACTTTCAGGTCTCCTCACACTGCTGGTGTGTGTTTTAATTTTTTTGACATAGGGTGCTGGCAGATTACGGGCCTCCCATAGCTGCTGCCAGGCCCCTAATCTGCCATGGGCCCCTATATACCGCCTCCTCATGCTGCTGCCAAGTCCAGAGTCTCTCATGGGTCCCTGTACGGCCTCCCATTGCTGCTGTCTCCATCGCCACACTCTGCCATGTGCCACTTTCAGGTCTCCTCACACACTGCTGGTGTGTTTGAATTTTTTGACATAGGGTGCTGGCAGATTACGGGCCTCCCATAGCTGCTGCCAGGCTTAATCTGCCATGGGCCCCTATATACCGCCTCCTCATGCATGCTGCTGCCAAGTCCAGAGTCTGTCATGGGTCCCTGTACGGCCTCCCATTGCTGCTGTCTCCATCGCCACACTCTGCCATGTGCCACTTTCAGGTCTCCTCACACTGCTGGTGTGTTGAATTTTTTGACATAGGGTGCTGGCAGATTACGGGCCTCCCATAGCTGCTGCCAGGCCCCTAATCTGCCATGGGCCCCTATACCGCCTCCTCATGCTGCTGCAGAGTCATGGGTCCACAGTCCCTCTCATGCCATGTGCCACTTTCAGCCACACTCCTCACACTTTCAGGTCTGCTGCACTGTGTTGTTAATTTTTTTGACATAGGGTGCTGGCAGATTACGGCCTCCCATAGCTGCTGCCAGGCCCCTAATCTGCCATGGGCCCCTATATACCGCCCTCCCTCATGCTGCTGCCAAGTCCAGAGTCTCTCATGGGTCCCTGTACGGCCTCCCATTGCTGCTGTCTCCATCGCCACACTCTGCCATGTGCCACTTTCAGGTCTCCTCACACACTGCTGGTGTGTTTCAATTTTTTGACATAGGGTGCTGGCAGATTACGGGCCTCCCATAGCTGCTGCCAGGCCCCTAATCTGCCATGGGCCCCTATATACCGCCTCCTCATGCTGCTGCCAGGTCCAGAGTCTCTCATGGGTCCCTGTACGGCCTCCCCATTGCTGCTGTGTCCATCGCCATCGCCACACTCTGCCATGTGCCACTTTCAGGTCTCCTCACACTGCTGGTGTGTTGAATTTTTTGACATAGGGTGCTGGCAGATTACGGGCCTCCCATAGCTGCTGCCAGGCCCCTAATCTGCCATGGGCCCCTATATACCGCCTCCTCATGCTGCTGCCAAGGTCCAGAGTCTCTCATGGGTCCCTGTACGGCCTCCCATTGCTGCTGTCTCCATCGCCACATACTCTGCCATGTGCCACTTTCAGGTCTCCTCACACACTGCTGGTGTGTTCCAATTTTTTGACATAGGGTGCTGGCAGATTACGGGCCTCCCATAGCTGCTGCCAGGCCCCTAATCTGCCATGGCCCCTATATACCGCCTCCTCATGCTGCTGCCAGGTCTCTCACAGTCCCAGTCCCATTGCTGCTGTCTCCATGCCACACTCTGCCATGTGCCACTTTCAGGTCTCCTCACACTGCTGGTGTGTTTGAATTTTTTGACATAGGGTGCTGGCAGATTACGGGCCTCCCATAGCTGCTGCCAGGCCCCTAATCTGCCATATGGGCCCCTATATACCCGCCTCCTCATGCTGCTGCCAAGTCCAGAGTCTGTCATGGGTCCCTGTACGGCCTCCCATTGCTGCTGTCTCTCCATCGCCACACTCTGTGCCATGTGCCACTTTCAGGTCTCCTCACACACTGCTGGTGTGTTTCAATTTTTTGACATAGGGTGCTGGCAGATTACGGGCCTCCCTATAGCTGCTGCCAGGCCCCTAATCTGCCATGGGCCCCCTATATACCGCCTCCTCATGCTGCTGCTGCCAAGGTCCAGAGTCTCTCATGGGTCCCTGTACGGCCTCCCATTGCTGCTGTCTCCATCGCCACACTCTGCCATGTGCCACTTTCAGGTCTCCTCACACTGCTGCTGGTGTGTTGAATTTTTTGACATAGGGTGCTGGCAGATTACGGGCCTCCCATAGCTGCTGCCAGGCCCCTAATCTGCCATGGGCCCCTATATACCGCCTCCTCATGCTGCTGCCAAGTCCAGAGTCTGTCATGGGTCCCTGTACGGCCTCCCATTGCTGCTGTCTCCATCGCCACACTCTGCCATGTGCCACTTTCAGGTCTCTCACTCACACTGCTGGTGTGTTGAATTTTTTGACATAGGGTGCTGGCAGATTACGGGCCTCCCATAGCTGCTGCCAGGCCCCTAATCTGCCATGGGCCCCTATACCGCCTCCTCATGCTGCTGCCCCCAGGTCTGTCACATTGCTGCTGTCTCCATCGCCACACACTCTGCCATGTGCCACTTTCAGGTCTCCTCACACTGCTGGTGGTGTTGAATTTTTTGACATAGGGTGCTGGCAGATTACGGGCCTCCCATAGCTGCTGCCAGGCCCCTAATCTGCCATGGGCCCCTATATACCGCCCTCCTCATGCTGCTGCCAGGTCCAGAGTCTCTCATGGGTCCCTGTACGGCCTCCCATTGCTGCTGTCTCCATCGCCACACTCTGCCATGTGCCACTTTCAGGTCTCCTCACACACTGCTGGTGTGTTGAATTTTTTTGACATAGGGTGCTGGCAGATTACGGGCCTCCCATTGCTGCTGCCAGGCCCCCTAATCTGCCATGGGCCCCCGTACCGACTCCTCATGCTGTGACGTTGCAAACAAGGTGGAATTCAACCCTACATATGTTAGACCCGCCTTTACGAACAGCAAAAGGCCATCACAGATTTCCTGATGTTAAAAGCGGATAAAGGTACTCCCTGTGTAACTTAGATGTCAGCCATTGGCAGCTCATGCGTGACACCTGCGCTTGCTCAGGCCCTTTGAGAGGGCCATTTCGTGAGTCGGCAGGACTATGGGATGAACGACGTCATTCCTCTGTTGCACGTCCTGGGAACAAATGCTGTTAACAATGGCTGGTCAGGGGGTGCGGTAGACGTGGCGCACAGATCTCAACGCCACATGACCCCTGTGGGGGCAGGACAGGAAGAAGAGGAGGAGGTAGAGGAGGACATTGGTGCTCAGGAATTATTGAGTGAAATGGGTGGTTTTTCCACTCAGCGGACAGGAGTGGAGGAGCAGGAGCATCTGGTAGAGGAGGAGGAAGAGGAGACAGAGGACCCAGACGCACCGTGGCAGTATGCTGTGGAGATGGGAGGCAGGGAGTCCCTCCGCGCATTCCTTGGCACAAATGGCCCATAGCATCTCTCGCTTGCTTGCGTAGCCAACAGCCGAATAATAACCATCAGACAGAGGGATGACTTTTGGCTGTCCACCTTGTTGGACCCTCGCTACCGTGCTCCAAAAATGGTGGCCTTTTTCACACCTGCTGAGAGGGAGGCCAAAATAACGTACTATAAAAACCACCTATGTAGTCAGCTGGTCTCTGCCTGTCTGCGCCAACGTCCATCCTCAGACACTGTGGGCCCTGTGCGCAGTCGCGTTACGCTGCCATGGCAGCAGGGGAGGGGTGGGGTGGTAGGAGCAGTGGCAGCTCCACCAGCAGCAGCTGCCTCAGTCTGCAGTCGATGATGAGTAGCTTTCTTCACACCAGCCAGTGAGGAAACTAAAAACCAGCCGCAGCAGCAGCAGCAGCAGCATCAGGTGGACCTGGAGCAGGACCTCAAACAACAGGCTTAGGCCTACTTGGACAGCACCCTGCCAACCGAGGTAGACAATCCCCTTGACTACTGGGGCACGAAACTTGACCTTTGGCCCCAACTAGCTGAATTTTGCCCTTGAAAGGCTGTCATGCCCGGCCAGTAGCGTGGCATCGGAGCGCGTGTTTAGTGCGGCAGGAGGTATTGCAACTCCGCGGAGGACACGACTAATCCACCCCTCAAGTGTGGAGAGACTCACGTTTGTGAAAATGAATCAGGCGTGGATTAGTCTGGATTTCAAACCACCAGTTCCTGACACAACTGACTAAATCTGCCATGAATCATGCCCCCAAACATGTGCCACTTTCAGGTCTCCTCCTCACACTGCTGGTGTGTTCCATTTTTTGTCATAGGGTGCTGGCAGATTACGGGCCTCCCATAGCTGCTGCCAGGCCCCTAATCTGCCATGGGCCCCTATACCGCCTCCTCATGCTGCTGCCAAGTCCAGAGTCTCTCATGGGTCCCTGTACGGCCTCCCATTGCTGCTGTCTCCATCGCCACACTCTGCCATGTGCCACTTTCAGGTCTCCTCACACTGCTGGTGTGTTCCATTTTTTGTCATAGGGTGCTGGCAGATTACGGGCCTCCCATAGCTGCTGCCAGGCCCCTAATCTGCCATGGGCCCCTATACCGCCTCCCTCCTCATCATGCTGCTGCCAAGTCCAGAGTCTCTCATGGGTCCCTGTACGGCCTCCCATTGCTGCTGTCTCCATCGCCACACTCTGCCATGTGCCACTTTCAGGTCTCCTCACACTGCTGGTGTGTTCAATTTTTTGACATAGGGTGCTGGCAGATTACGGGCCTCCCATAGCTGCTGCCAGGCCCCTAATCTGCCATGGGCCCCTATACCGCCTCCTCATGCTGCTGCCAAGTCCAGAGTCTCTCATGGGTCCCTGTACGGCCTCCCATTGCTGCTGTCTCCATCGCCACACTCTGCCATGTGCCACTTTCAGGTCTCCTCACACTGCTGGTGTGTTGAATTTTTTGACATAGGGTGCTGGCAGATTACGGGCCTCCCATAGCTGCTGCCCAGGCCCCTAATCTGCCATGGGCCCCTATACCGCCTCCTCATGCTGCTGCCAGGTCCAGAGTCTCTCATGGGTCCCTGTACGGCTCCCATTGCTGCTGTCTCCATCGCCACACTCTGCCATGTGCCACTTTCAGGTCTCCTCACACACTGCTGGTGTGTTCCATTTTTTGTCATAGGGTGCTGACAGATTACGGGCCTCCCATTGCTGCTGCCAGGCCTGTAATCTGCCATGGGCCCCCGTACCGCCTGGTCACGCTGCTGCTGCTGGGTCCACAGTGTGACATGGGTCCCTGTACCGCCTCCCATTGCTCCCACTCTGCCATGTGCCACTTTGAGGTCTCCTCACACTCCTGCTGTTTTCCATTTTGTCATAGGTTGCTGGCAGATTACGGGCCTCCCATAGGTGCTGCCCAGGCCCCAAATCTGCCATGGGCCCCCCGTACCGCCTCGTCACGCTGCTGCTGGGTCCACAGTGTGACATGGGTCCCTGTACCGCCTCCCATTGCTCCCACTCTGCCATGTGCCACTTTGAGGTCTCCTCACACTCCTGCTGGTTTCCATTTTGTCATAGGTTGCTGTATGGCCTCCCATTGCTGCTGCCCTCCACCGCCACACTGTGGCTCCAAACACTGGTTTTGGCCCCGTGACTGGCCAAATGAGTGAAGTGTGCGGTGATTCTAAGATCGACGGCACTCATCTGCATGTCATACTGACTGACAGTATTATTTCTCTTCCCCAGCAGACTCCAAGGGCATTTAAATTAAAGGTACAGTGTTCTGCACTAATATTAAGTCTCTCTGAAGCCTAGAAACACCCTTTTTTAAGTTAAATTCACAGCGAATATATTCGACTCGAATCGAATATTGTCCACGAATTCGCCGAATCAGTCGAATCAAATTTTTGAATACTTCGCTCATCTCTAATTGCATTTATCAAACATTTGTTGGTAGTGAATCATTCATTGAATATTATAACACACTCACCAGTAAGATTGTCTATAGCTGATAAATACAAATGATCTGAAATAAAAAACAAAGTCCCTTTTTCTTCCTCATTGTGTGCAAAGAATAATTACTGTAAGGAATACTTTCTGCTACCACTCCCTGACCAGGGCTGCCAATCTCCTGAAGTGAAATTTATTGATACAACACCAAAAATTTACTGAAAGGACCATTTTTTTTTCTGACATGACACATTAAATTTACTGAGCTAAATTTTTTACTGACAGTTAAAATAATTTGCTAAAATGACTGTTTTCAGTGCAAATATCAATATTTAAGCTACAAACATGTAGCTAGTGCAATTAGCAATGTGTTTAGGGTATAAAAAGGCAAAAAAAAAACGAATGTCTCCTTTTGCATGAAGTTCAGGTTAATATAATCCAGCACAGACTTTTCCCTTACATCAGAATCTGCAGGGTTCCACTTTACTGTGCAAGGGGGAACTCTGAGGACCTTGATGTAAAATAGAACACTGTGAACTGTAATGTAAAGGGAACTCTGTTGTAAGGGGGTCTCTGGTCACCAGAGCCCCCCTTACGGAAAAGTCCAGTCCACAGAGCTCCTCTTTACATTACAGTCCACAAGATTCTCCCTTACCTCAGAGGCCACAGAGTTCCCCTTTACATCAGAGTCCACAGGGTTCCCCCCTACAGTATGAGGGGGTTCTCTGTGGACCCTGATGTAAAGGGGAACACTGCAGATTGTTATGTAAAGCAGAACTCTGAGGTAAGAGGGTCTATGGTCACCAGAGCCCCCCCCCCTTTCTCCTTACCAAGAGTCCGCAAAGTTCCTCTTTAGATCAAAGTCTGCAGGATTCCCCCTTACAAGGTAAAGGGGAGCCCTGCAGGACTCTGATGTAAAGGGGTACTGTGATGTAAAGGGGAATGCTGCGGACCATGATGTAAAGGAGAATGCTGTCGGCCACAGAGATCTCCCTTGCACTGTAAGGAGGAATCCTGCAAACTCTGATGTAAAGGGGAACTCTGATGACTCTGATTTAAGGGTGAACACCAGGAACTCTGATGTGGGGAGGGGGCTCAGGTGACCACAGACCACCTTCCACAGAGTGAATACACTAAAGTAAGGGGGTGTTAGTGATGTAAGAGGGAACCTTTATATTATATATATATATATATATATATATATATATATATATATATATATATAGTGCCCCCCTTAGGTTAGTGTATTATTCACTCCCCCCCTTACATCAGTGACCCCCCCCCAGACTTTTTGTGGCCTGGCCGGCTTGGAGCTGTCACTGACCTAACCTCCTCCAGGCTTCCTCCATTGCTTGCTTGAGTGCAGCAGGGGCAAGCACTAAGACATGGTCCAGGCAGTCCGGGCTGCTTGGTGCCTCTTCCCATTATCACCTTTGTTGAGTCTTCTCAAGAGCCCTCCAGTAACAATTTCAACTCCCTGTGGGCAGCTCTCCCATCTCCCAATTTAAAGTCCTGACTCCTGGCTCCCCCTCTAGTCCTGTGTACTTCTTAAAAGCAACACCATGATGTCATGCCTGAACTTCATGTGCAGTTCCAAAGTCAGCCGAAAGCCATTTTTTTTAAGGGCAGCCACCGTCCAAAATGGACATTTTTGGACAGCTTATAAATCAGATGGTTGGCAACTCTGTCTCTGACACCCCTTTGCGTGCTCTATGATGCTTGCAGCAATAAATTTCACTTGAATTTTAAGCCTTCTTGCTTGATTCTTCACTCATTTACTGCTTCGCTATTAGGTTTAATAATGGATAAAAGGGGAAAAAAAACTGTGGTGATCACTAACATTCCCCCCATAAAAGACACACTTGCTTTATTATATTTTGCTTATTATTTTCATGTAATTATGATTCATAAAACTTGTCTAGGTTTTATGCCACTTATATTTGCACACAAAAATAAGAATCTTTACTATATATGTTTTTTAAAGAAACAATCACTGCACAGCTTTCAAAGATCATGCCTCATTCCTTGATCTCTTACAGTTTCAATAGGCTTCCTTCAGCTACAGTGTAAAGAATGGCAGAGTTCCTGGTATGATGTATAAACAATACTATTGTGGATGGAACAGAAGCTCCTTGTTTTGTCTATTACAATGCAACAGGATAGAACTGCAAAACTTTAAACACAATGCTTGGATGATATGTGAGAATAATGCTGATTCCTCCATTTCACATTTTTTGTTACAATTGTTGCCTAGTGTCAGCTTTGATTGCTAATAATTTTCTATAAGAGAGCTAGGATTACACAACATGTGCATTATTCTTTGCAGGCAACATGAACTGTTCATATGAGTTGGTGCTTGGACTATATCTGTATTTAGACATTTTCCCTTTAATTTACTTAGACATAACGGTAACTAATTTCTACTGCAAACCCAGGTTCAGTCTATACTATGGTGCCACAGTGTGGATTTATTAAAGGCAAATAGACTGTGCACTTTGAAAGTACAATTACCCAAAAGCTTTGGGATTTTTAAGGTGCAAAACAAAACTAAATCATTAAAAATTAACAGTTCATTAATGTCATTAAAAGTCCATTCAATTTAAAAAACAATTACAAAGGCTTTACGATCACATGCAGCTTGACTGTTTTTATGGTATGCAGTAAGATCCCAACATGTTTTGCCCACCATGGGCTTCTTCAGGGAATAAAGTATCCATTAACAGTCTAGAATTGTGTCAAAAGAACAAAATTAGCAATGAAAAAAAAGAAATAAGGAAACAACAATGCAATATAACCATTTATATTGAAATCATTTATCCAGACATATATGATCCTACTGCTGCTCACCCTTTTGTAGTCAGCTACCAATACTAGTCTTGGAAAGATGATATAAATATTTGCTGGGATGAGGACTCAAACATCCTTGTAATCTCAGAAGCAGTGCTGGGACAAGGTCGTCCAGTGACCAGGGCAAAGATACCAAACTGCGACCCATCCCCCCCATTCATGATGTGTAAGTTTATGGGATCCTACACCCAGCACTCACTCAAAATCACTGTGCAGTTCGGTTTTAACACTGGTCACACGCTTGTGTGGATTGGTTCTTTACTATCAACTATCTCCTGGACACTTGTGCAGTTGGTGGTGTGGGCTGTGCTCCCTCCTCCCTACCTTCTTCCTGCTAGTACAGTTTCTGTTGTGTCTGTGAACACCACCACCTCCTTTTTAATACAGGAGAACAGCACTGGCAGGAAGGAGGAGAGGGAATGAGAACACAGCCTGCACCCCATCCCAGCTCTCTCCTCCTCTCTGCTCCCAGCATTGGGCTGACAGGGGTGGTGATGCCGTTGTCACTACTCCTGTCAGCCTTGTCACAGAAGGAAAGCACTCCCATTCCTATAGTAAACTATTGCACTCTGGGTAGCTGCTCCTCTCACCCACCCCTTGTCCCGACCCTGCTCAGAAGGCACACAAAAAGCCTGAATTCTATTGAAACACACATAAGATTACATAAATTCCTACATAGGGGGAGCCCCCTCTCTCAAAAAAAAGGAATGAAAAGAAAAAAGGGATATCATTGAGAATCACTTACAAAGTGAAGCAATAGCAAAGGGCCACAAGTGGGTGCCAAAATTCAATCCTGACAACATAAACTAATAAAAAAGAACAAATAAAACCAACCAAGTTTCATTACTCTGCAAAATTAGCAAACACCATAGTCTTAGAGAATTAATCAAGGGATAGAATTGGTATATACAAATCTATTAGACCAATTTTTAAACAGTAATTCTTAAA